ACCTCAGCCCAGTTGGCATTTCTGTGTGGAGTTTGCATGTTCTCCCTGCCTTCGCTTGGGTTTCCTCTGGGTGCTCCGGTTTCCCCCACAGTCCAAAGACATGCAGTACAGGTGAATTGGGTAGGCTAAATTGTCCGTACTGTATGAGTGTGTGTGTGGATGTTTCCCAGAGATGGGTTGCGGCTGGAAGGGCATCCGCTGCGTAAAAACTTGCTGGATAAGTTGGCGGTTCATTACGCAGTGGCGACCCCAGATTAATAAATGGACTAAGCCGACAAGAAAATGAATGAATATATTACTTTGGTCTCAGAAGAGAAATATGAAATGTAATAAACATAATAACTGGTTTTTGGAGGTATGAGACGTGAGGATGTTCAAGAATATTTTGATGACCGACAAATTGTCATTACTTTTTTGCATATACATATATTACAACACATATATTACATTTAAAAACATTCAGACCTCTTTGTCCATGCATATACCTGTAATTTTCTGCCATTTTTGTTATCATATGACCTGTTAAAATGTATTCTGTAAATGTGTTTGCATTGTAGTTTATTGGCATCTATTCTTATGTGATAAAACCTTACTTTTTAAAGTTTCTGAACACACTCAATTTTTCTTTAAGAATTTTTTTAGGCAAAAGTCCAAAATACAAATAAAAATCGGTTGATCAAAACATAGTTATTGTGGACAAAATATTTCAGAAACATACCGAAACAGCTTTTTTTTGTACATCCTACATTTTGGCTTTTTACTTGGAATTTTCATTTTGGTGCATCACTAGTTAGTGTCATAAATGTTCTCATCACATACTGCTTTAATTGATAAAACTACTACCGGTTTTGCAAAACTTGAGACTGTTGGTCTTTTAGGCTTTTGTTGTTCTTCAAGAATGAAGTAACCACTTCTTCAAAAGATCAAACTGAATTCAACAGTATCCAGGCATCTAACCACAGAGATCCGTTTAGACAGTATATAACACTGATTAATAGGCTCTTTTACAGCATATCCTGTCATAATGACTGCCGTGAGACTGCAGCATTCTCATAGCTCACTGGTGAGTATCGGAAAACCTGCATTCGTTTAATTCCTGGTCTTCAGCGTAATTGCCACTTGCTTTTCTATAGAGCAAAGCTTTAAAATGCTTGGTAAAACTATTCGAAGTGAAGCTAATTATAAAAATAATATTAAGATTTCACTTTGAGTTTTTTGTCCTTAAAGGGATAGTCCCACCAAAATTAAGAAAAAAAAAGCTGTTAATTTATTCGCCCTCTGATTATTCAAGACGTCTGCAACATTTTTTTCTTGCAAGAAGATTTTAAGTTAAAACTGAGAGCCATGGTGATTCATATAAATGAAAGTGGAAAAACATTAAGTTGAGTTGCTGGCAAAACATAACTTACAGGCAACACTAAATTAAAACATGATGTTCCTGACTATACCCTGCAGGGACAAGACGCCAACATGACGACATATTGACGTTGTACCGCAACACACCCCCATGTCATGGGGATAATGAATTTTGTTTAGAAATGAAAATCGGGTTGACGTCAGAACCCAACGTCATGCCACTGTCAATGTCCAGCCTAAAAACAACCTAAAATCAACCAATTATCAACGTCTAATCATGTTCCACCTTGACGTTGTGTGGATGTTACCACTATGACATCAGACGCTGGATTTTGGTCACTTTCTAACACAACCTAAAATCAACCAAATATCAACGTCGTTATTGGATGTCAAAATAACGTTGTTCTTAGATCCTGGCTAGACATTGAATTCTGGTCACTTGACATCACGATCTAAATCTAACCTAATACTAACATCTTATGATGCTGTGTGCCTGCTAGGTGCATTCAGAAACTGATTTTTACAAGATTACGTTATAACCATCACCTTTGTTATCAGTAGTCTAGCAATAGCTATAATGCCCATTTAATCGAGGGATAACATTCGAATCGGCTGCACCAGGAGAAAAGGACCCTCAACATTAAAAGCTACTGGTGTCAGTCAACGATAAAGCAAACATTTAAAAAACAAACCTCTTATGCATCTACATCCAAGCCTGCTAAAGACCTGAATGGTGCAGAGGCTAACTTTATATCCACAGAACAGAAAGCAATCCAAAGATGCCTTTTTAAGTTGTAAAGAATTCTGTGTTTTTGAATCTAATGAAGATGGCAGAAGTCAATGATTTATTTTAATGACTTAGCCTAACATGCTTGCTGTTCCAAAGTAATTTAAATGTTTATTATATATTGTGTTCGATTGGGGGAAAAAGTTGTTGTTTTTTTACCCAGACATTTAAAAAAAATTATATATATATATATATATATATATATATATATATATATATATATATATATATATATATATATATATATATATATATATATATATATATACCATGACATTGTAATGTTTTTATCCAGGGTTATCATACTGTAAGAATCTTATACTGGAATATTTATTTCTGGCATTCAAGCTTCTTGTTTCCAGATTTAATTTTGCCTGCATTTTATGATCACCCATGACTACAGTTTCTTCCGTATTAGCCTACTTAAGAAGAAAAAGAAAAAGCCACCCACATCTTGGATGGCCTGACGGTGAATTAATAAACAGCCAATTTTCTTTTTTACAAACTCTCCTTTCAATGTTACACCAGCTGTTTCTTTGTAATACCGTATAATAACTCTAACCGCCACAGTATTAGGATCAAATATGGGTCACTGGAGCAGAACCAAGGACTTCGAAGAAAATGCTTGACTTTATTCCATGATCAAAATCCCCACTGTTATCTCAAGCTTCTTATATAACAGCAGGGTCTTGTGAAAGCCTCAAAAGACTTACTGTATTTACATGGTTCATCGTCATCATAATATGTAAAAACAAAGAGACACTGTTTACGCCTTTTTAATAAAAATATGAGCCGTCACAGAATATTTTAATTAATTTATTTCAAAAAGGCCTAAAAGGTAGTGTTGACTCTGTATCAGATGACTGTTGGGAGAGTTTAATCAGTCGTCTTAACTTTCACTGCAAAACAGCTCTTATGTAATCAAAAGAGATGCTGGATAAACACACACATTTTAAACTACAGCAAGGTAAAGACATGGGTCTAGTGATATTTCAATCTAAAGTTGCACATTTACTTTAAATGCAAAAATATATATATTGAATAAAATTCGATGGTCCAGCCTCATGTGTTCCAGTGTATAAAAAATCTCACTTCCTGGGAAACTAGCATGTGTCACGATCACCAGCAATCTAACCCTCATAGATCGCTGGAGAACATTCCCAATGACTACAACTCTGTCTCCATATGAACCACAAGTCCTGTCATGCACCACACATACACACCTACTCCAAGTCTTCATTGATTGAACTCACACAGCTGATGCTGCTCATGCACTCACATATATACAGCTTGCTTTGACACTCACATGTCTGAGTCTTGTTTGGTTAACACACTTTAACATTACAAAAACATTCCCTGATTTAGTTTCCATGTGCTTTGACCCTTGCTTTGTTTTATCGTTTACCCTGTCTGCCACCTATATTGACCATCTGTTTGTTACCTGATGATGCCTCCGGATTTCCTTGTTTGTACCGCTTTGCGCCTGTTTTTGATTATTGCCTGTCTGACCAAAATTTTTCGTAAAACCTGCATAAGGATCCTCATTTCATTGTCACTCGACTCCCTTGTGGTTACAGCATGATCCAAAAATAATACAAATGGCTGTTTTTGTAAGTTGAGAAAACAGTTATTTCTCTTCATAGTAAATACACAGGGTAGCAGACAATCTCTGTCATGCTGTCTTTTGTTTGGAGGCAGTGTCTGATGTTTGAGAAGATGATTGCATTTTGGAAGGTAGCTTTACAAAATCAATCAGAGGATGGACTGGGAAAGAAATTCCTTAATTTACATCAAAATATTCATATGTTTTTGCTTCAAGAGATAATGTGATTGGATAACCAGACTAACCATTGTCAATTAATTTCATCCCACAAATAGGATACTGTGAGATGAAATTAATTGACAATGGTTAGTCTGGTTATCCAATCACATTATCTCTTGAAGCAAAAATACATGCATATTTTGATGTAAATTAAGGAATTTCTTTGCCAATCCTTTATTTATTTATTTTTTTGTTCAAAAGACATCTAAAATATTTTTGTTTGTTCAAAAGACATCTAAAATACATCCAAACCTAGACATCTAGTCTTTGCTAAAACTAGGCTAAATTTTACTGTCAGTGAAAATCGAATAGACGTCTAATCATAGTCCAGTACTAGACTAGTCATACAATAGACAAATTAGACAGAATTCATTCATTCCTGTCTACTTGATGACTAGTCTATTTTTGGACTGTTATTAGACATTTATTGAATTTTGACATCAAATTTAGCCTTGTTTTAGCCATGACGTCTATGTTTGGACATCAAAAGGTGGGATCTAAGTTTATGAGCATATCCTTTTAACTAATTACAAATTTGAATGCATAAATATGCATCTATTTATGCATCTATTTATTCTGGTGCCCCGGGCTCTTGCAATTAGTTTAAAAATTTTCAAATTGAACCAAAACAAATAATTACAATTGGCTTAAGATTGACAAGCAAATTCGGAACACTGCAACCAGCAGAACCTGGGAAGTTTAAACAAATAATAAAAAACTATTTACACTTAATTTATTTGTACTTAACCTCATTTTTATTATTATTATTATTAATTATTTATTATTTGTGTATTTGCACTGTCACCGTTAATAAGTTGCACTGTGGAAATTTCTGTCATGAAAACAAATTCCATGTACTGTATGTGTAAACATACCTGGCAATTCAGTTTCTGATTATTATGCATATTTTTGCATTCACGTGCATCTTGCAGTTTCCATTGAGTGTTTCTTTTAATGCAATAACCTAAAATGTGGATTCAAATAGCTGAAAAGAAGCACAGCTGCTGTGATGTACCAACTAAAAGGCTCTCTTACTTGAATTGAGGGTCTTTTGTGTAGCGTGTCTTTGCCAGGAACCTCTCAGCTAGTTTCTCTAGGTTGCGGGAGTAGTCCATCTCAATCTCTGCCTTCTTGCGGAAGAAGTCCTGCAGGTCTTGCAGGAGCTGCACACGGAGCTCACATTGCTGGTCCAAACACTTAAGCTGCTCCACCAACTGAGCTCGGATCTCTGCCAATCAGAAAAAGAGAAGAAGACACTGAGTTATTACAATACTTCAACGTGGATATGGTGGATAGAGGTGCTTAGAATCATTTTAGAGTTTTGCAAAACTAGCACATTAGATGTTCATTGTCAAAATCTACACTTCATAATTGTTGGCTATGATGGAAAAGCTGAATTTTGCAGACCATTACTCCAGTGTCTTCAGTGTTCTTAAGTGAGAAGTTATTTCAATATGCTAATTTGGTGCTCAAGAAACATTTATTATTATTTGACTGATTAAAATAATATAGTTATATTTATTTAAGTTGTCACTATTATAGTTTTAAAATTAATGAAATTATTTTTTTTTTAAATATCTGTTTAAGGTTTTAGCTTGTTATTATTATCTTCCCCAAACATATTGAAACAACATACGTCTACTAAATGGTTCCAAAAACCATAAAATATACAATCAGCAAGGGTCATATGTGATGATTCCTTATAACTCGTGTGTCTTTATCCTAAGTTACAATTTTCTATCATAAATGAAGTATGCCTCATTTTAAGTCCCCAAAATGTGATCAGTAAGTGTCAAAGATTTTCCTGTAATTTGAAATCAAAGCAGTTAATGTATTCCTCTTAATGTGGGAAATGATTTTCTTTAGAAATTGCACAAAATAAAAAGAGAAGAAGAGAAACAGCTGGTAAATCTCCTCTATGAGTCAAAGTGCATTTCAAGGCACACTTAGCAAATGCAGGAATTCTGCAGAAGTCTATTTTTTTCTATTATTATGCAATGGAAACTCATTTTACATTAAACATCATGATCATTCTGTGATCTAGTTAGAAAAAAAACTTTATCCTCATTTCACAATCCTGTCTATGCTGCTTGAGCCTAGTTCCTCGTTCCCCAAAACAAAGACAAAAATAGCTGTCAGCGAGACATTTCAGTCTTCTATGCAAAAAAGAGCAAGTTTTACAAGTTTTCATAAATTCATTTATTACCACAAACTTGCACAACAACACACAGATATGGTCAGGAGATGTTTTAAACCGAGGTCCGTCACACACTCAGACACACACACATTTATCCAAGCTAATCACTCTTCATGTCCGCTGCATCTCTCTTTCTCTCTGCCCAACATCCGTCGAGCACTCAAGCATGTCTCCAAATTAATTTACTCTCCTCTACCCCGACAGCCTATTGAAATATTGAATTATAATGTTTACGTGAGCCCTTTGGGAACTCTGGATCTATGGATGCACCTACTTTTCCTGCATACTAAAGTGCCAATTAAAAAAAAAAAATGTGAAATTTAGCAGAGCCATTTCATTTTGTATGATTTGTGGCAGCAATACAGAAACCTTCCCTCAAGCAGCATTTTCAGAACAGTATGATTTTATTAATAACGTTTTAAAATAAGCTCAGCTCATTCAGCTCATCATTAGTGTATTTATTTGATCCGAAATACAGTATAAACGGTTATGTGTGGTTATTCATTTTATATATTCTATAAACCCCATACATAAAAAAGTTATACAAAACAGTTTTGTTACATAGTATATTATACAAATTATTTTAAATATCTAATACATTTTATAACTAAATTTAAACCAACTTTTCTTAAATGTATGCATGCATGTGCGTATTTTTTATATACATAATAAATATACATATCACACACACACACACACACTGACACACACACACACACACACACACACTCATATTATGCCAAAACAATCTTTTATTTTGGACTGGATTTAATTTTGCTCCGCATTATTTAAAATATAATTAATTCCTGTAATTTAAAAAAGAATTTTCAGTATTATTAGTGAAACATGCTCCTTCAGAAATGATTATAATATGATCATTTGAGCTCAAGAAACATATTTTTATTTTTATTTTAAAACTTGGATGGAAACTGATCCACTATCACTCAAAGGTACAATTAAAGAATGTACTTTTGTTCATTAACGCCACTTTAAATTCCTCTATATTGACAGAAAAGACATTTAAATATCAGATAAATAGTGTATTTCTGAACTTTCTATTCACTGAAAAATAAAAAAAAAGTTCCCATCAGTTTCCACAGAGCTATGAAACAGGAAACAAAAATGTATCATTTTAAAAGTCATCATTAATAATCAAGTACCAATAATAAATTATCATAACAGAACAGCAAATTAACATATTATAATGATTTCTAAAATATCGTGTAACACTTAAGACTAAACTAATCTTAGAATCACAGGAATAAATGACATTATAAAACATACCGGAATCAAAAACATTAAATAATACTTCACAATAATACTTAACCATCAGTTATGATTGTTTACAGCTCCAAGATCACATTACATTTGATGTTTTAATGCCAAGTCTTGAGTTAGCAGTCAAACCAGTGTTACGGGTGATCAAAAACAAACAAACTGAGAATCAACAGTACCTTTGCATTTCCTGCTATAGAGAAATCGGATGACTTTTGCCTCCATATGTACTAACTATCCCAGAGAGAGAAGCCCGGTGCGGGTCTGACAGTCTCGGGGCGATGAAACCCAACTGTCCCGACTCTATTGTGCTTTTGCGCTGAGAGCACACTTTCAGTCTGACATCACACAGAAGTGGGATTTCCACATCCACAGAGTCAAACACAACAAAGTCACTCCAGTACCAACTGTATGGGCTTTACTCACTTCATGTGACTCGCTGAGATGATTTTTTTTTTTTTACATGACTGTATCTTAAGTCTGCTTAAATAACTACCCAGGCTTTCTTTCTGACATGCCAACATGTGTCAGTACCAATGACACGTGTAATTTTCTGCCCTCTGTATAATTTATGATGGTAGGAGGAAATGGGACTGGTGACGCATCGAAATGCCGAAGCTCTTTAAAGGAGCCCTGTAATTTTAGTAAAAAAGCAAAGCGTCTACAAACACGCACAGGCAGAGTAGGGTCAGTGACACAGGCAGGCATCAAGCATTCATGGACTTAATAGTGCAGTTATCAGCTTAGTGTTTGATATTTACTGAGATGAACATGTTGACACAAAGGAATGTGTGTTTTGATGTTTGAATGGGAATGCTTTAAAATGAAAAAAAAATAAAATAAGGGTAAATTAAGTACATTGGCTTTTCAAATTGTGAAAGAAAAAAATGACATATAAATGAAAATAAAAACAAAATTTACAGCATTTTTTAAAATACAAACATTGAAAATTTAATTAATTAATAAAAAAATAAAACATAAAATATAACGAATTTATGAGTAAAATACAAACTAAATGCCTCAAAATAAGTATTAAATAAAAAATAAATAGCAAAAACTAATAGTATTAAATAAAAAATATATACCAATGAATAAATATAAAAAAATAGATATAAATACATATTAAACACTAAATATCAAGTCAAATAAATAGAAATAAGAATAATAATAAAATATTTATAAATATTATTATATTTGTTATAAATTAATAATAATTGAAAATGAATATAAAATAATAATTTAACAAAATTGTATTAAAATAAAAAGACTTAATAAATAAAACTAAAGTTATAAAATAATAAAACAATACATAAAAAATTAAAAATAAATCATTTATAATAAAAATGTGTACAATAAAACAAATTAGTATATTAAAAATACTACAAAACATAACATCTAATAAACAAACTAAACATTCTTTCATTCTGCTCTCTAAATACTGGTTAGAAATCCTAATTATATCTCAATTACTTTACATTTGACATTTTCCATTCATCACAGTAGAAGTAATTCATTAAATCATGCAAAAGGAGAATGATAACTAGCATTTATCTATAAATGTGCTGTATAGCTCATTTTTGGCTGATTCACATCTATCTAAATTACAGTAATAGAGTGACGCTCAACTTATTGTAGCAGTATGTGTTTATTCATGTCTATGTGCAAACCAAACCGTCTCTGCCAGGCCTTGACAAAATGTTAAGTGAAGGACATGAACCAACAGGGAACCATTTCAGACTATAAAAATTAGGCATGGATCTAATGACAAGCAAGACTATACTAGATAAGTCAAACATAATCTACAAGTATAATTTAAACAGTTTCTGCTAAATGCAATACAAGCTAGAACAAGCATATGACTTACTAAAAGTGATAGTCACTCCTCTATATGTAGAGAATAAAATGGCACAGTATAATCTAACCACATTCACAAGGAAACTCAAGTCAGATGTTGTGAATTTGTCTCAAGGGCTCATAAAATGTTTCCTAAAAGCCTGAGAAATGCTGTGCTACCAATTCTCTGGCTATCCTGCTGCTCTACAAAATCCTTAAAGTGGCACACTACAGGCAAAAACACAGTTCAATTTCAAGGTAAATGTCAATTTTGGGCTTGTCAGACACTGTCTTTATAGTCTAATGTCTAAAAAACACATTTCGATGTCTCATCTCCTGTCAAGCTTAATCATTTTTGTCTATACATTCAAATTCATATAATTGTAATGTATTTATATATTGCATTTATATATTATCATATTTTTGTCTCCAGCACTAAATTATAAATTTCAACTTTTTTAAAAATTTTAATCATTTATTCATTTATTTTCTTTTCGGCTTAGTCTCTTTATTAATCTGGGGTTGCCACAGCGGAATGAACCGCCAACTTATCTAGCATATGTTTCTACGCAGCGGATGCCCTTCCAGCTGCAACCCATCTCTGGGAAATATCCATACACACTCATACACTACGGACAATTTAGCTTACCCAATTCACCTGTACTGCATGTCTTTGGCCTGTGGGGGAAACCGGAGCACCCGGAGGAAACCCACACGAAGGCAGGGAGAACATGCAAACTCCACACAGAAACGCCAACTGACCCAACTGAACCAACCCAACCCAAGCATTACCAACTGCGCCACTGCGTCGCTCAACAGCACTTACAAACAACAAACTTCACAGTTTTATAGACCATTTTGAAGGATGTAAACAAAAACAATGGTCCCAGCGTATTTCCTGTTACATTCTTAATTCAAAAAGA